AAAGAGGGGGGTTCATGGTATTTGGCCAGTTTACGATGTTCTGGACAAATGGTCAGTTTAAGATTACACCCAGGGGGGTTCCTAGCTTGCATCTGCAATCCTTATCAGTTAACCCCCTTTCCTGCCATAAACCCCAGCTTGTGATTTAGAAGTCTAAACCCCCTACAGAAAGGATTAAATTCAAACCCCCGTCTTCAAATCTTTCTTCAGTGGTATTTTAAATTTAGAGTTTTTTGTATGTGGTATGTTGTTTTAAAGAATTACTGTCTAATAAAGTAGTATGTATGAATTGCTAGACTTTGTGTTTGTCAGATACTTGAGTCAAAGTCATTGAAGAATGTGAATACTTTTTGTGCAAATTAATGAGCATCCAAGGGGCATTAGTCTTTAATAGTTCTTTGAATGAACTAAATGTGTGCAAAGGAGAAGAATTCAGGAGTTAACATGGAAACCATCAGTTTAGACTGTAGTTTTCCTTTTAACCAGCTGTGCTAAATAATGCAAGAAACATCAGGGGTTTTAAAGACTGACTAACGAAAGGACTACGGATTACGATTTACAGTTTGCGGCTTGGATACGGAGTGGATTTGTGTGGATATACGGACCTAGGAATTTGGATTGTTTAAGGACAGAGAGAACGGATTGGGATCGGCAAATGATCGGACAAAATTAACGGAGAAGAGCCATGTGGTGTGAGTAACATCTGGTTTATACTATCTTTTCCCCCGGTGACACAACACTACTAATGCAAGATCACACTTTTTGAACTAACAGGGCTCTTCCTAGTCCAACTCTTCTAGAGCATTAAAATATATTTTATTCCCCTTTTCGTTATCTGCTCTGGTAATATGCTAGTCAGCATGTGCAAGATTCCTATTTAATATTCCCCTTGGGTGAATCACTACACAAGCCATAGGCTCATAAGAACTCCACCCCTATCTCATTGCCTGCCTTGCTTACTTTTCAAAATATGCCACTGGGATCATCTTGTGTTTTCTGCAATTATTGTGAAATGTTTGAAATTTGATGGTCATTTATTTTATGTGCATGATAAATTAAAAGCATATGCTCTCCCACGCATGTGCTCCCTTCTGCTGCTCTTCTGCAACCTGACTTTTGAGTCACACTCACATGTTTAAAACTTCTGAAATACAAGTAATTCAGACAACAAACTGACAGAATCATTGTCACCAGACCATTCAATATTATGTGAGCGTCTGTTTAGAGGGAGCTAAGTGTTTAACATTATGATGTTTTGTTATGCTTCATTACTATTTTAATAATTCTTCTAAATATGCAATTCTGTTAAGTTGTCAGTTGGGTGTTTATTGATGCTTTCTCTGATCTCTTGGTTTTCATTCCCAGAGTGATCTTCTCTTTACTAATATCCGTGCGAAATTAGATTTTCAACACTCTTGCATGGAGTCTAATCATAACATATGAAGTTTGAGTTTTGCAGGTAGGAAGAATTGATTATCTGGCAATGGGTTTTCTGGTGGACCTGCTGTGTTGATGAGTTTAAGCCTTGATGAGAGCAGTGTCCTGGGGTCTTCCTGTGCTGTGACCTGTCGGTTAAGTCTTCTGTAGTTTGTTGTCATGTACCCCACATTTCTGGCTTTTTTCCAGTATATATTTTTTAGATATTTTCTGAGTGCAGTATGGTGGTGCCAATGTTACAGCTTTGTGGATCAATGCTATGATTCTGACCTTGGGCATTTGAATTCCCAAAATCCCAAAATCCCAAAATTCCCAAAGTACCACATCCAAATCACCGTCGTATCCAAATCACCAACCGTAAATTGTAATCCTTTATCTCTTCCGGCAATCCATTCTTCTTCAATCCGCACAAACAGTAACCTGATTCCTCTATCTTCTCCAAAACGCATTTACCTACCAGCCTCTGCGCTGGTTCACTGTTTCTGGGGCACATATATTTTGTTTCCTGATGAGACTCACCTGTGTCTCATTGTTTTTCAGAATAAGCCCTTTCCAGCTGGTTTCTCTTGGCCACCACTTTGCTCAGGTCTAAGTGGAGTATATTGAGCAGGTCGTTCCTGAAATACCTGTCCTGCATGACCCCTCCCCTCCTCATCTCAATACAATAACATTTGAACAATTACCAACAGATGGCTATGAAATGACACATCTGCATGTTCTCATCATTGCACGCATTTGAAAAACAAGCAAAGTCATCCTAAAAGTTCATCCTGCACAAGTGTATGAGGAAAAAAAACAGCTTAGGAAAGCCTCTGGCTCACTGAGTGACGTCGTCAGAGGAGCCTTCTCAAATTTCAGCCCTGAAAAGGACTTGAAAACCTGACGGCATTCTTTTTTCATAGCAGGGCAGTGGGGGTGTGAACCGCTGTAAATACTCTCTTCACTCCAATTGTTTTCTCACTCAGCCATCCCAGTGGGAAGATGTTGTGCCAGGAGAAGTTAGCACAGGGCTACAGCTGGTTTTTGATTTTTTTCGGGATGGGATATATGGTCCGGCAGAGATCTGCACGGACTCCTTATGGGCGCTATGCTGTGCCCTCAAAGGACACCCGGAAAGTTCCTGCTAAAGTAGCCTGGTTCCTCCAAGAGCTGCCATCATTCCTGGTTCCTCTTCTTCTGTACTATGCAGCACATGGGCTATGCACAACAGCCAGGAACCTTCTCCTCTTGATGTTCTGTGGGCACTACTTTCAGAGGTATGGATTCACATTCTTGGCAAGCTGAGTACCTTGGGGCTGAGTGAGGTGTGCTTCATTCAGATGTCTCTCATCTTCAGTGGGGTCTGTTCTGTGAAGAGTTGGTGAATGGGCACTGCTATGGGCTCTAAAGCACATAAAAATACCATTGTAGATTAGGAGTTGTGCAGCCTCATTTTCATAGTTTCCCTAGTTTTAGTAAAGCTGAACCTGAAAGTCCAACAGATACCACTAATCAAGAAATGTGCAGAAAAATATGTTTTTTAAGAATGTTTTTCCAGTTACATTTGTCTAGATCTACAGGGTAATATTACTGACTTGGAAAGTCAGGTCATTTGCCAAAACCACTTTATGCGATACAGTGACGCGGGGACTTGGAAAGTATGAATTACAAATTGAAAGAATAGCTGCATTTATTTAACATTGTTTGCCCTTCATACTGCGCGTGTGAAAACATGATTTCATAAAATACATGGAGGCTGCAAATGGAAGGACGAAGCAGTTTGCTTTTCACATTTTTTCATTGTAACTTCAAATTAAAATCTTGTACATAGTTCTTAAATAAAAACGTAAATCAGACATTTTGCATTCTGCATTATGTACATGTCCACATTTTATATGTGGTACATGGCAGACTGCAGCTGAATGAAAACTGGAGGAAGCAGTAGCACTCAATCCTTTTAACCATGGTGCCACATTAAGGAGCTCACAAGAAGAGCACAGCTCTACTGAGAAATTGGCGACACTGTCCCTTACTCCCACCCAACCCCCATTTAGTCTTCTTGATAAAACCAGCGTCACTTTCAGCACAAATGGGTGACCTTAAAAAAAAGCCAAGGTTCTGTGTGAGATTGCTGTTTCTGAAAAGAAGACAGAAACAACACTGTGAGAGAACATAATGGTTGGACATGCTTGAGTGATCCAGCAACACGATTACATTCATGATAAACGCAGAGACCAAAACTGTCTCACCTCCTTAAAAACAAACAAAGACCATTTCAAACATCCCAGCCGGTTTCCTCGGTGTTTTGTCTGTAAAATAAATGCATTCTTACAGCACTTTTATTACAGAATTGAGTCACTCTATACCCAATTCTTAGCACAAGCATCTTAAATTCTTACTGCAAGGGGATGATTATTATGTTTCACTGGTTCTGATTGTTCTGTTAAACATTTCTTCTTAATGCTAATGCATGCTTCTCAGTTTGTCTGAGTAAAGGTTCTTAACTTTAAAACTGTAAGCTGCACCTGTACCCAGGTTCCACCTGCACCCAGCTTACAGTTTACTTGTGCCAAGACCAGCCTGCCCTTTATCTAGCGAAAGATATTTAATCATACTAGCTATTGCCTTTAAGTGTTAACCCTCTTCAAGAGATTTGTGTTTAAGTGTCAGTTTCAGAAAAGAGTTTCTGATACATGTCTGATACTCCCTCCTGTTTTCCCTGGTCCTTTTCAGTCTTACCTCTCTGTGTCTGTGCATTTAATACCATCTTCTCCAGAGGTGCTCTAAGAGGGATAACTTAAGGATTTCATACCAGTTGGTTTAGTCCGTGTTAAAGATTACTAAAACTGTTTGGCCACCTGGATTGTCTGTTGGCCATTGTGAATCCTCAAATGAGACAATTAGATAATAATTAACCCTTAAACTTTCATAGTGCTTTTCTGGAAAGTCCACTCAAGGCACTTTACAGGTAACGGGGACTTTCCTCCACCTGGATAAAGTGACAGCAGCCCAGGTGCACCAGTATGCTCACCACACATCAGCTGTTAGTGGGGAGGAATGATGAAGCCAATTCATAGATGGGGATTATTAGGAGGCCATGATTGATAAAAGCCAGGGGAAGATTTGGAGTAACACCCCAACTCTTTTCAAGAAAAGGCCTGGGATTTTAAATGACCACTGAAATTCAGGACCTTGGTTTTATGTTTCATTCAAAGGACAGCATCTTTTTACAGTATATGTCCCCATCACTATACTGGGGCATTAGGACCCACACAGACCACAGGGTGAGCGCCCCCCTACTGGCTCCTCTATTACCTCTTCCAGCAGCATCCTTAGCTTTCCCAGGAGGTCTCCCATCCAGGTATTGACCAGGCTCACACCTGCTGAGCTTCAGTGGGCTGCCAGTTGTGAGTTACAGGGAGATACAGCTGCTGGCTAAAAATGGTTGTCTTAAGTAAGAGAGTATTGTAATTTTGATGGGAAAACAAAGTCCTTATCTTCCCCCTCATGTAATAATATTTATGATTGATCCCAAACTTGTCTTTGAGTGACCTGGCAACACAATACACTTTGTGAGGGTCGATCACTCCAGGATAAGAGCAGTTACTGTATGTGTAAGCAATTGTATTTATGTATTTTATAGAATTGGAAGCTGTACTTATGTACAAATGTCACATGTCTCCTTCTGAGAACCTATTTAGTGACAGATAAAAAACCTGGTTTTGAAACAGGGTTCTTGAGAGGGTTACTCAAGATTGGACCCATATCTCTTACATAAAAGGTTGCTCAAGTTTCCTTTTCTGTTACTGGCCCTGTTCTTTAACCACTTCTCCGTAAATTCAGTATCTGAAATCCGTGGTTCAGACTAGGAGTAAGAATGTTTTGTTGCCAAACCCTGTTTGTTTCTTATAGCTTAATCTTAATTTTTGGAGGCATTGGATTTAGCTACAAACAAACAGTTTCCCAAGCCCCTGGGCGGTATGGCAGGTATGTAAAGCAATCTGGGGCTCGTAAGTCGGTTTCAGCCAGGGTTGCCTGGCTTTTGCAGGAGTTTCCAGCTTTTTTTGTGCCTTTACTGCTATGGTACACTGCAGGATACGAGACTTCTGCAGTAGGGAAAGCACTGCTGCTCTCTCTCTTCTGCGGACACTATTTTCAAAGGTATGAGCTTCTGCATTTAACTTTTCATCCTGTGTATTAAGAGAAGAAATGACTGTAGCCTTCTGTGTGAGCATGTTTCATGCTCTCCCTATGCCTGTGGGTTTTTACATCCTGTCAAGGTTCATTGGAATCTCTAAATTTCCCTGTGATGGACTGGCATCTCACCCAAGATGTAGTTCCAACTCAGTTTACAGTTACCACCTAAGTATAAAGTTCTTACTGCAAATGAATGGATAGATGTAAGGAGTAGAGATATTACTAATGTTTTAATTTTTTATTTTACACTACTGTATGAATAAAAATAGCATTTCCTTTTCTTGCTCTTTCCTAACAATGTGTATTCACTGTGCGTGCAGATGAGTGTACCAAACTTAATTTTTTTTCTTAGCTGAAACCATATGTGCATATTTGTGGTGCATAATTCATATTTACACCCTCTATAAATATAGAGTGGTTTACTTATGAGAGACTATTTTAAGCAGGCTTAGTGTTTGCTAAGTTGTGTAATCATTCCAGACTGTATTAGTATAACTGAGTGCCGTTTAAGAGCCCCCTTGTTTGCATGTGGGATGTTAACACAGAAACAAAACGCGTGTGACATCATAATGGGGGAAGACAGAATATTGTCCAGATATCCAAGTTAAACGATAAGCAAGCTCAACCATTCTGGAGAAGGCAATTAAAAATAAAGAAGATCCAGTGCCAGTTTCAGTTGGCTGTCCATCATCATGAAGTTCAAGGCTGATGGCATTATTGCTGCTCCTCCAGATGTCAGCAAGCTTTACCAAAATGTGTAGTTGGAGAACAAATTTGGCAATTAAAAGGCAATACTGGGAATCTTAGGAAAGACCTCATGAATCTGGTGTCTGTGGCCAAGGACCATTGCCAAACAGTTACTAGTTGACTTCTAAGACAAAAAGGAACCAAGTTCCAAACATTACCAGTATATTTTAACCAAAAATCTAGTGACTTCTGTCGGGAAGCTTAAGCTTTGGAACCTTTGGTCTTTACTGAGAGATAATACAAAGTTTTATATGGCTCAATGACCAAATGTCTGAGAATATCTTTGTTTCTGTTTTTACTCCTGCTAGGACTTTCATCTACGCTTTGCTCAACAAAGGTCAACCCTTCCCACTCCGCATCATGATATCAGCAGCGATATTCTGCACTGTGAATGGCTTCTTCCAGGGCCACTACATGCTGTACTGTGCACAGTATGATGATGCCTGGCTCACTGACATCAGACTTATCCTTGGTGAGCGTGCATGAAGATTAGATAGTGAAAGCGTTAAAATGAATCTGCCCTTTCAATCTGAGTGGTAGAAATTCGAACCAATGTGTAAAATAAATGCTCAGGGTTTTTAAAAACAGGTTTAATTGTCCCAACTATAAATGTAGTAATTTTTGGAATTTCTCTGGGATTAAAAAAGTGCCAACCTACTTTGTTAAAAATGTCTGAGAAACCCTTAAAAAAGTGTATTATAACTCTTAGTCATTGTTGTTGAAATGAAATCTTTAGAAATTTAATTGAGTTTTAATCTTCTTCTCCACCAAATCTATCATAATAATGATTAGTAATCAAAAATGTATTTTTAAGAATGTGTTGTTAATTATAGTCTTTTAAATTTTTTAGGTTTAATTTTGTTTGGCCTGGGCATGGCTATAAATATTCACAGTGACCATATTCTGCGCAATTTGAGGAAACCGGGAGAAGACCATTATAAGATTCCAAGAGGTAACAGCTTAGCAGTTTAATCCCTGGGCACCTGCTGCATGTGGACAGATGCGGACTCTGCTATATTTATATCGTTGAAGTTCTGTGCTGCTCTTGGGCTGCATTTCAGGAAACCTAAGTGTTTTTCTCTTTACCGTGTTTGCTAAAAAATACAAATGTGCAAACACTAGTATATCTGGAGCAGATAATAACTGTGGCAAAACTTTGTACACACACTTTGGACACATAAGATCTAGTGCTTATAAAATGCCAATTCTGATTTAAGCACTGAACATTGCAAAGCATCATTACAAGACAAACCCAGTATAGCCATTGCAGAATCTACATTCAGATGATGCACTGTATGCTCCAAAGTATTCTATTCATCTGAAGTGGAAGGCTGTTTTTTGTCTCTGTAGAGGGGATTTCGGTGATATGCTGTACGTTTGCGTTTGCATTTCAACAGTATGGGTTTATTTTAACAGCCTCAGCATCGCAAGTTGTGCAATGTCTCTTCTTGTGCCAAAAACAGATAAGCTCTGTCCTCATTTTTTTTTTAAGGTGGCTTGTTTGAGTATGTCTCAGGCGCCAACTTCTTTGGTGAGATTTTAGAGTGGTTTGGCTATGCCGTAGCGACCTGGTCTCTGCCAGCCTTTTCTTTTGCCTTCTTCACCACCTGCTCCATTGGGCCCCGTGCCTACCACCACCACAGGTACGTACCCGAGGACAAAGTCATCCATCCAACCTCCGACTAGTTGAGAGGCGAGACGACGCGCTTCGTGTACTGTGATTTAGATGTCATCTGCTGTCAGAATTCCAGAGGAGTAAAACAGTACTTAATACTGCGTGTCCTTTTGGTGGAATTCCTGGCTCGTGCTTCCTGCTCACTATCTGTTCATCCGGCGACATTCTGTGGAACACGCCGAGTTGAGGTTATGCAGCTGAGTTACATTACAAGGCTTTTAAACCTGTTCTTGCTTGTCAGGCAGACAAAAACATTAGGTGCCAACATTGCTTTGAAATAGATAGCTGAGAAAAAGGTTCATACTTGTTTGCTTCGTTTGGAATTCTGCTAGCCCTGTTTTTCTTTGCCTCCTGCACCTTGATTTGAGATATGAATGTATGAGTACAAACAAGACAGGACTGTTTGGCCCATCTTATTTGGTATCAAGCATATTGCTTTTATCTGGGAGCTGTAGTGCTGATGTGGAATACATTACCTTTGACGGTGCCTACACTGAAAAAGTCTTGTACTGGGGGCGGGGGGGTGGAATATATTGTAATATCTGTGACATAATAAAGCGTTACCTTAGCTTTTCTTAGAGGGTTGCTGTGTACAAATTCAGTGCAACAGAATAGTCATGCACGAGAACACAAACACATTTATTCTGGAGCTTTAGCTTTCAGCAGCCTGAGTAGAATATAGTATAATGGGCAAAGCAGGCTGGGAAAGCTATTGACCATTCAATGGACATGAATGGGGCAGGCCATAGAAGCGAATGGTGGGAGAATGCATCCAGTTTACAAACCTGCAAACTGGATTAAGAAATTCACTTTTTTTTCTAAACACTGAAATTCAAATTCTGCATGCTCACACTACTCCAGGCCCTGATTCTCATTTTTGTGACTCATGTTGTGTCAAAAACTACCTTTCAGTCATTTCCACCCTAGTATGTCGTGATCTTTCTTTAGTTGTGTGTCACCAGTGAGTCCCTAAGTTTAAGGCCTTCTGGTATTTTCTCCTCTCACCTCCAGGTTCTACTTACAGAAATTCAGAGATTATCCAAAGACAAGGAAAGCTCTGATACCCTTTATTTTCTAAGAAGTTAGATGCTCCTCTGGTCATTTGCAAAGAAGGAGAGTTCCAAGACGAAGCTTCACTGGCAGATGAAGAAGATATGGACACAAAGTTGAACACAATCTGTCTAAACAGTTTGTGTTCTGAGAATAACGAAGACATGAGACGGATCAATATGTTCTGTTACTGTAAAGAATCTTCATGTTTCCCGTTTTCATAAGGAAGGTAAACAGGAGGTTCCTGAGGCTTATATATACAGTGCCTTGCGAAAGTATTCGGCCCCCTTGAACTTTTCAACCTTTTGCCACATTTCAGGCTTCAAACATAAAGATATAAATTTTTTA